TAATTCCTTGAATATCATCTCTGCCCTCTTTCTTAAGCTGAGGCTAACCAATAATTATCATTTATAAGATGATCATAAAAAATGGACATAGAAAATAATTCTGACAGTTTCTCTCCCTGTAGTTAGGTGGGAGTTTTCTAGAAGAATGAGAAATATCAGCTCTTATTGTCTTTTCAGTATGTCAAACAGACTCAGTTAATCCCATGCTTGACTGGCTGTGGGCTGAGAACTGTAAAGCTGAGTGTCACACAATTTGTGGAAAAATATGAGGGTTATGGGATTCACAGACCATGACTTAGTTAACTTGAATTTTATTTTTTAATGGGAATAACAACGGGCTTTGCAAGCTGATTTAGAGTCTCCAGATTTAACTGCATAAGGGTTTAATACCCATGCAGTGTGAGTTAGAAAAATGAAAATTTTTAGTACGGTAAATAAACCCTGGAGCCTGGAAACCAAATTGAAGTCTGCAGCCTAGAAAATCAACAAAGACTAAAAATAGTAAGATTAGAGGTGACATTCAACCATGGACCATCCAAAGGTGGTTTTTAAGTACCACCAAAGGAGAAACCCGGCCATGCTATGATAAGCTTTCAAAAATATATAGGTCTAGAGAACATTCTGTTCATTATATAGGTATGGAAGCTTAAAATATAGATTTTTGTTTTCTAAAGTCTTGATTTCCCATGTTCTTTCTTTCACAAGAATTAAGAGGGTACTCCCTTTAATTTCCAAAGGAGAAGAGTTGGCATAATTTATATGGAATTGAGAATTTACTTTGGTGATATTGATATGAAGGTTAAATGCAGTTGCTGTTTTCATTCAGCAAATTTGAGCAAACAGCTCTAGCATTCACTGGTCTCTTAGCAAACAGCCAGAGGATTCCCTTCAGAGCAGGTAAAGAAATATTGCAGGACCAGGAGAAAGAACACAAAAGAGGAAGCTTTGTACGACTTTCTGTGTGATCAAGCTACCTCATTCACATTATTAGCATAACCCCAAGTTTCTTGGAAGAATTTTGCTCATATCCTAAAACTTTGTACATGTGGAATTACAAAAAAAAAAAAAATAAAATAAAAATAGTCGGGTAGCTCCTACATATTGCAGAAACATCAAATGACTGACCTGAGCTGCATGCACATGACTATTACTGAACTCATGACAAACCAGGACACTATAAAGTCCTCAGGAATCTGAGCCTTCCTTTGGAATTTTCTTTTAATCTTCTAGAGTGCTCAATAAGTGCCCTTTTTTAGTAGGAAGAATGATTTGAGGGAGTAGGACTGATGATTTTCTCTTGACTGCTGAGGGTAAAGGAAGTAGAATGCCAAGTATCCCCCAACCTCAGTAGAGAAGAGCAGGGCATTGGGAATGAGTGATTCAAATGAGACAATTGGTAAAATTAAACTTGGGTATTCTAAGAACTGGTGTTCATAAAAACAGATGAAGTCTTGGACATCATTGCATGAGGCAGAGATTGGAATGTGAAAAAAGGAAGTTAGAATGTTAGCATGTTAAGGATAATACTGATCGTAAGATGAAATATTTAAGTAGTCAGTCTGGCTTCTCATAGTTTCTTTTCAGTTGGGTGAAAAATTCTGTCTCTGACTTTCCTTGTCAGGAATTCATCTTAGCAAACATTTACTGTATACCAGCCATGCCAAGCTCTAGGCCCTGGTTCTTTAAAGAGGAATGTGACCCAGCCTCTGCTCAAAGATATAATCTGTTGAATAGAGAGTAGCCATTGTTAATGCCAGTTTTTCACTTCAGAATATTTTTATGATATTATTTGATATGTAATGATGAAAAATATATTCTTTATTAAAATTCTCACATGCTGTGCTGGGTTTGTGGCTCAGTGGCAGAGTGCTTGCGTTGCGCATGTGAGACACTGGGTTTGATCCTCAGCACCACATAAAAACAAATAATAATAAAAAAACAAAATAAAGATATTGTGTTCATGTATAACTAAATTTTTTTTAAAAAAATTCTCACATGCTTCATTCCCCATGAGGACAGGTGTGTGATACAAGGGCAGGGCTGTTTATATTATGTGCAAAAAGAAATACCAGATAGACTGTAGATCTATAATGAAAACTATCTTCATGACTTTGGGATGAGCAAATATTTTTAAAATAGGACACAAAATATAGTAACTATGAGGGCAAAAAATGGACAAGTTGAACTAAATTAAAAGAAAAAGTGTCAGTCCCTCACAAGATACCATAAGAAAATTAGTTCTAATAGAATGGGAAAAGGTTTCACAATACAAATGTCCTTCTGTACACAGAGTGGCAGCACCTTGAGCTCATGTAAGGTCTTTGGCCACCAATATCCTGAGTAGGAAGGAGAAAAAGAGACATAGTTAAGGAGGAAATACTAGAAACAAGCTTGATTACTTTCTAATTTTGTGTGTCATTAACTTGGCCCATAATCCTGTCTAAACCACCACTTATTTTAAGATGAAGTCTTCCTGTGCATTAAATCTTTAAAATCCTCACCAAAACCCGTAGGTACATTCTACTATATAAATTTACATATGAAGAAATCTAGGCTTAGGGAGATAAAAGACCTTACTCATTTTCCAGCTGTAACTGGAACTCAAGTCTCTATGATTTGAAAGCCAATCCTCTTGGCATGTCTATTATGCTGCCTTATATTTTTGAGACAAATTTTATTTGATAGAGCATAATGAGGAAAAGAAAAATAATATATGTGATATTCAAATCTGATGTTCAGAAGGACTTCTCCAACCATTCCTTTTCTGTTGTAATATGGTAAGGACTGGGGGAGGGATGTTGAGAGATCCTCCATGAAACAACACAGGCTAGGTTGGAAATTCTCCTATATGGGTGACCCATGAGCCCTTCTCAACACTTTAGGGACTTTTTAATTACTCAAGTAATTGCCTGTGATAGGCAGGCTTTGTTTTCTGCTTATTAAACAACTCTCCAGGCTAGATTTTATTCCTCTTACCACTAATTCATATTCAGAGATATATAAAATGAATGCTGCCAACTGATTGCCACATCACTGTCTGCATATCAATGTTCCCCTGCCTGTTTGGATACAGAGAGAAAGAAAGGAGAAGGGAAGGAAAGGAGTATTACAAGGAAACTGTGATGGCTGGATCCATTTTAAAAGCCAAATTCTGTTATGGAAACCAGAATTTTGACATGCATTAATTATTAGTATTTGTGCATGGTTAGGATTTGGGGATTGCCCTGCTTAGCTTATGTGTGTCCTCTTTTTCTCTTCTTGTGATACATGGCATGCCTTGAGAGCATACTCAGGTAAATATTTAATAATTTTAGTTCTTTTTTTTCTGTGATTTGATTTTGGTCCCTAGCACACTCATGTTTGTAGCCTATGGAATGTTTATACCATCAGAAAATGATTGCAATCCTAAATGAAATTTGGACCACTTATTTCTTTTTTTAATATTTATTTTTTAGTTGTAGGTGGACTCAATGTCTTTATTTCATTTTTATGTGGTGCTGAGGATCGAACCCAGTGCCTCATGTGTGCTAGGAAAGCGCTCTACCACTGAGCCACAACCCCAGCCCCTTGGACCACTTATTTCTGAATGTGTCTCCACAATAGTCTAATGATGGTAATGTTTGTGTAAGCAATATGGTGGAAAGGCACATGATCTGATTTGAATGGGAATATATGTGGATATGATTTTAGAGCTTTTTGTTTACTTAAAAAAAGTCCTTTCTTTATCTTTTGGGGCTGGTTATGCACTTTTATTGCTATGACGATACATGAGAAAGAAACACCAAACAAACTGAAATAATTGAAAATGCCCACATCTAACCTAACTTAATTTATCTTGCTGGAATCTATTTAGTTATGTGGACTTGTTTTACATACAGCTGCTTATTAAAAAACTGGACAGGAGCTGTGGATTGCATTTTTTTGAGATGTAGTTTGAAGTTTTAGTTTAGAAATAGATACCTCTTCAGGGAATATGTAATTATTTATTAATATGATTAGGATTGTACATTGTGTCTTGAAGCTATTCAGAGAACTCTAGGAACATCTGTTGTACTGTGATTTTGGAGGCTGTTAGGTTGTTTCCCCAAATGCCTTGACAACAGCAGTTCGACATAGTTGGAATAGGCAGTGCCACAGTGCTTCAGTCTCCAATCGGAATTTTTCAGCTTGGTGTCATGTTGAAAAATTGATACTCTCAAGTAAGTTTGAGGTGCTCTTTATTTTTCAAAGGTTTGTTTTCATTGAGTCCTGGCTTTCCTCTTTCCTTATTTAATGCAACAGTGACAACTGTCATTTCCTAGATTCATGTAACAGTATTATTAGTGATCTTATAAATAGAAAATAATTTTCCAGGTGGGCTTGGCAGCCATTTTATACACATGGCCTCATTTAAATGGCCAAGACTTTGCATGTGTAAATAGGCAAGTTTTCAGGCAATTTGGGTAAGCTTGCCAATCTTGCCTCTCCGTTTCCTGTCTAAATAACTTCTTCCATGTCCACAGCATGTTTATGCAACACTGAATAAAACTTCTAATGGGAAATTTCTTCCAGGTGACCTCCCTGAGAGGCTGAACTGTGAAGAAATCTTAAGAAACCTGACCCTGATGAAATTGCCTCCGTTGAGACTATTACTTGGTACAGAAACAAGAGACCAAATTCAGTTATTTTTGGTTCTTGAATAAATGAATTATGTTTCCTTTTGTGTAGTGGCAGAAGAAATTAACCCCTGCAGAAGGTCCAGTCTCAGTTGGAAATTGAACTTTTGGTTTCTTTTGAGTTAGGACAGCCTGGGAGAAGAAAATGTTAAATTGTTTTTATTTGAACCTCAAGCAATTTGGAATAGGTTTTTCTGTCTGTATGTCTTTTATAGATCTATATTTTTCAGAGTTGTCTGTATGTACATTTAATGTTCTGGAGACTAGGACTGTTATTGTCTAATGACCTCCAACTTGGCACCTTGTGTGGGTGGATACTAATGAATCCTCTCTTAACCTTCCCAGCACTGTTGGAGAAATCAGTCAGTAGAAGGCGTGACTCTGAGGCCGTACAGAAAGCCAAAATCCTTTATTCATCCTGTATGAATGAGAGTGAGTAATAAAATAAATAAAACATTTACCACCCTTATCCTTTAGAATTATATTAAAGTTTAAAGATATTGTTTACGGAAAAAGAACAAAAATTCTATTAATGTTTCAAGGTATCATTTGAGGAAAGGAGCAATTTTCAGACTGGATTTTGACTAGTCTTTCTTAGTTAATCTCTGTGGCTGGCTTGATGGAAAATCATCTTATTTTGATGACTTGGATTATTTGGGCATCAGTTACTCTATGAAAAACTTGGGCAGGGCAGTAGGGCAAACCCCATAAAAACCAGAATCCAGAAGCCAGGCTAGTTCTGGTCTGAGAAAGAGGCTCTAAGAAAGTATATTTGGAAGAATTGGTATATTTCATAGGGCATGTTGGGACCTAGAGAAATCCAGATTCCCAGGTGTGACAGACTTCTTTGTTAGTTTAACCAGCATCACTGTTGTGTGCCTCAAACCTGTCTCTCAATTTCTTGGATATGACTAGATTGGAAGACATGCTACCCATTTTACTGGATCTGCTTTCTCAAGGCTGTTACAGGAAGGAGCCAGTGCTTCTAGAAAATATGTTAACTGATCTAGGATCTGGGGTATCATTTGGCAAACTGGGAGAAGGCAGAAAAGTCAAGGGTCTGGAGCATTAGTTCACTTTATTGCAGAGTGATTGGTTTTATTGATCAGTTTCCTTTAAAACTAGGATTGTGCATTAGTGCCACCAAGTACTATAAGTTTAACCAGGATCAATGTAGCAAACCCATATTCTATTGTAGAGAATATCCAACAGGTTCATCCATCAACTTTCTGGCAGTAATACCATATTTAGACAGTCACATTAAAGTGTGAGTTAGAGTTCTGTATCTGGGTTAATCTCAATCCAGGATACCTCTCTTTCTCTCTCTCTAACAACTGAATTTTCAAGTTGGGGCCTTATGGGCACTTTTTCTTGAGAAGATATATTTGCATTCTAGTTTGGTAATCCAGTTTGCAATTCTAACTCTCCCTTAATATCTGATCCCTTTCAGAAGCCATCGAAAAAGCAGATGCCAAGCCACTGCTCCACATTCTGCGGCATTCACCTTTCCGCTGGCCCGTACTTGAAGCTAATATTGGTCCTGAAGGAGTTTGGTCGGAGAGAAAATTCAGTCTTCTGCAGACGCTTGCAACATTTCGTGGTCAATACAGCAATTCTGTGTTCATCCGTTTGTATGTGTCCCCTGATGACAAGGCATCCAATGAACACATTTTGAAGGTATAGCCAGGAAGGACTCTTTGTTCACTCCAAAATTAGCTTTTTAGGCTGCCTTCCTAGGGAAAGAAATTCATGCCGCCTTAGTGAAATGATAAAATAAAAATTCTGTTGAATATTAGAATGTAGATTTGTAGAATGTAGATAATTAGATCTATATTTTTTTTAGATCCCACAAGATTTTCAGAATATAAATCATTAGCAGACAACTTTTGTCAACTTTTCAGGAAGCCTGTGAGTTTAAGTGTTCTGTGATCTGACCCTCAGATATCTACTCCAGATATCTGAGTGGGGCTTCTAAATTCCAGTGGGAAGAGGGTTGTCGGTCTCCTGCTGTCATGAAAGACTTTCTGAATTCTGTCCTTTCTCTCACTTCTTCATTCCCCTGACATAGAACACAAGCTATGATTCCTCGTTCCCCCTTTTCCTAATGTTTCATGCCTACATACGTACTTTCTCATTGTCTAGTTCAACTTGAAACTCTCCTCCTTCCTTTCAAAAGATCAAGCAGAACTTGTTCTAAGTACCTGATCACACTTTTTTTTTTTTGATTGGAAAAGTGAGCATCTCTTCCATAAGGGAGTGGGCCAGGTGGACAGGCCCTAAGGTACATCATATTGATAAAATCAGGAGGCTGTCAGAAAAGTAGCAACAACAGAAGATTCAACAATGAAAGAGTTTTATAAAAATTCAAGTAATATTTTCAAATTGTTTTGTGCTTTGATCTTGTTGGGTTTTTAACTTTTACTTCCACAGTTACTTTGGCTAATAATGATGATGTTATTGAACCACTGATTTCACCCCCAATTCTGTCATTTGTCAAACCAGAAAATATTAATGGTATGTTAATATTCAAATCATAGAAGTATAAATCCATTAGAGTATATTACCATCATCCAATATAATTCAGCTTTCCAAAGTCCAAATCCTGGAGTCTATTTTTTGAGTTAGATCAGAGTGGACTTCTTTTTTTTTTTCTGTAAAGGGTCAGAGAGTACATATTTTAGGCTTTTCCCGCCATCTATACTCTGTCATAACTACATATCTCTGCCATTGTACCTGGCTGTGTGGAGGGCTAGCCCAAAGCCTATAGCTTTCTGACCTCCATTTTAGACACTGAGTTTCAATACAAATCTTTGGTCATTGAAAGAATTCCAAACCTACTCAGAAGGAAGTTCTTAGTTCTAGAAACAGCTGTGTTTCTATGTTGGGTGATGGAATGATAGCATAGTATTGAGGTATCTTCTAATGCCATCAGGATAAGATGTGCTACATAAGATACAATGATAGTGGTGATCCAAGTGACCTTTGTCCTATGGTTATAGGTTGCTCAGTTTTTAAAACTATGTTTTAAGACTATCATCCTTAATTACAGTATATGATATTTCTCCAAATACATTCAGCAGTATTATGAAGTGAACCAGAGTATGTCATTGAAACTTAAGTTGATACGCTCTGTTGATTAACAGAAAATGTTGAATAACGCATAGATAAATCATTGCAAATGGTAACTGTTTTCTTTTCAGTGATATCTATATCTAATCAAATAACTGAATTAATTTCTTTAAAGACTTATTATGGAAAGTAATATGCACAGAAATAAAAAGAAAAGAAAAACATACTCCCATGTACCTATCAACCCAGCTTCAATACCCTCATCTTTCTGCTATTCTTTTCTAAGCCTCTTCTTTTTGGGGGAGAGGGAATGGAACATTTTATAGAAAATTCAAAATATAACATCATTGCATTATAAATACTTCAGTACTGATCTAATGGAAAAGACTCTTATCACAACCACAAAAGTGATCATAATTTTATACTTTGGTATCTAATACACAGATAATTGTCAATCTTCCTGATTGTCTCAAGCATGTCCATTTTGTTTCATTTTATTTTATTTTGAAGTGCTGGGGATGAAATCCAGGACCTCAAAGATGCTATAGCACATGCTCTACCACTGGGCTACATCCCTAGCCCTCACAAATGTCCTTTAAAAAAACCCAAATCAAAACCATTTGGTCTTTGATTTGGGTTCCAAATAAGAATCATATGATTGATATGTCTATTTTAATCTGTAGCAGTTCCCCTCATTTTTTAAAAACCATGTGTATTTGTTTAAGAAACTAGATAATTTGACCTATAGACCTTTCCACATTCTGGATTCCACTGATTTCAGGGTAACCAAATAACTGATAAAACTAAGTTCTTGTTTTTAAGAGAATCACAGCTTAAGAATTCAGGAGAAATAATGGAATTAGAAAGTTACCATTAAAAAAAAAAACAAAAAACCTGGGCTGAGGTCATGGCTCAGTGGTAAAGCAAAGCACTTTCCTAACATGTGTGAGGCACTGGGTTTGATTCTCAGTACCACATAAAAATAAATAAAGGTCCATCAACAACTAATAAAAAAAAAAAACAAAAAAAAAACTTGATGATGGGCTGGAGTTGTGACTCAGTGGTAGAGTGCTCGCTTAACATGTTTGAGTCACTGGGTTCAATCCTCAGCACCATATAAAAATAAATAAAGTTAAAAAAAGACCTGATGAAAGAATAGATTCAGATAACTATCACCAATAGCTGCTAAAACCATTAGGTGACAGTTTGGGACATTCATGACAGATCTGACTGCTATCACCTGAACCCAAATATCATTGTTAAACATAGGACAACCAGATATTATGTTCTCCTTGATACCAGTATGAAGTGCACCCCATCTCCAATGATGTGCCAAAGTGAAAGAAAAAAAAAAGAACTTGAATCAAGCCTCTTGTTTCAGTACTAGCTTACAGAAAATATGGGGAATTGAGGAACATGTTAACAGCTTGCCTTGCATACTTAATATTCAATTACATGGATCCTAGAAACACAAAACTGTCAGTAATAGATACTTCCCAAATGTAAGGAGGCACTCGTGTACTTATTATTACTGCTCTTCTTTGCCAATATGGCCGCTTTTTCCAAACTGAAGTATTTGAGCATTGCTTGGCATTTGAACACAGCACACATTTGCTTTAGTTCTGTCTCTGTGCCATTTTATATTAGTGAATATTCACCCAACTGAATTAACCACCTTCCCCTAAACAAAATGGATCTATAATCTTCCTAACCATGATACAATTACAGAAAGTGCAAACTTGTGTCTAGAGATGATAGAGGAAGCTTTACTCTGAGATGTGAATGAAACCCAATTAATCTGACCACAAAGTCAATGTATTTGTGGCTGCCAAAATTGTAGAATTTGTGTGTTGCTTTTTATTCGTTTTAAAAGTGCCTAAAACTATAAAAAACAAAATTTCATTAAATGAACATTTGGAGCCACTGAACCCCTTTTAGGTTTTGTGGAACATTGAAGACCATGGGTATGTGGAATAGTAAGCTTTGGTGGTGAGGAGATTGAGGGTCTCAGTTCACTTTGCGATTTACTCACTAAATATCCTTGTACAAATTGCTTCACCTTTCTGAGTCTCCCTTTCCCAAAGTGTAAAGAAGGCTAAATTAGAATTTACTTTGCACTGTTGCTGTGAGTTTAAATGACTTGACGTTTTCAAGTTTCCACCATAGATATTAGTCCACAAGAGACTCTTATGACAAAAGGTTCCCTTCTCTTGAAACATGACCCAGGACCATTAAAGGATTCTTCTGAATTTGTGTTCTTGACATGCCTGTCAGGTCTCAAATCTGGTTGTGCAATTTCAACCTAATCTGATCATGAAGCTTTCTACCACACCTTTTGGCTGGAAAACTGAACCTCAGTCTACGCACTCCTCACCACCTCATAGTTGCTCCATTTCTTAACTTTTTTCTAGGACTGGGGATACCCTCTAGTCATTGATGATCTGAGAAGAAATTTACTCTGGAACCCAAATAGCCCCTTTAGATGAGCTTCTCTGATTCTGTGGTCCTGGGCCTCTTTTCCCTCTCAGATACTGCTATGTTCTAGGGGACACCAACTGGTTCCTTCTGCTCCCAAGAACCACTGACTTCTTTTTCAGCTTGACAGAATCTCCTTCTGCTCTAGAGGAAATCTCTCTCACTTCTAACTCTCCTCCCTCAGTGCATTTAGGCTTATTTTTTTCATCCAGTTCTATTTTCTCCACTGTTTTTAGCTTCTCCATTATCACAAACCCACAGGGATAAGAAAAATGTCTCCTGCTGGGCAGGAATATCACCATAAGTGTCTTGTTAGGTGAGCATATGGTACCTCGCGATGAAGAAAAAAAACACTGCTTCCAATGGGTAGATATTTCCCCATCCCAAGGATGTACACTTTGGCCTGTACAATGACCCTTGGCAAAGCTCCCCTGTGACAAGATGACACAGAATTTGCTACAGGCGTAAATGGGAGAAAGAAAACACAAAAATATAAGATACATCAGAATTGAGTGCCCTGAAACATTATTTTGCTACATGTGTTTGGGTTTAATTCATGCCAGGAAATAGCAAGAATAAGGATTCAAGGGACAATAGAAGATTTAAAAACTTCTATGTTTTTAAATCTATGTGTGATCCCAAAAGAGTATTTGGAAGGCCAAGGTTGCTCTAGTATAAAGCAACAAATTAAATTCATTCTTACTCAGTGGCTTGCATTTTCTTTTTGGCTTAGGAAAATTCATGATGGGAAGGAGAGACTGTTGGAAATGAGATTTTTCTAATCTCTTTGTCTTTTTCTGCATCATAATTTGTTAGGTGTTTTTGTATTATTACTCTATCTCCTAAAACAAAGTTTATTATTATTTGAGGAAATTTGTATTTTCAGCACAATGTATCAGCTTTATTTTCTGCTTGCAATATTCAGATTAGTCATCAATATAAAGATTTTAAAAGCCTCAAATAATATAGTGTCCTGATGTTGGCTTCTTGAGAAAGTCTTTTGCCTCAAGAGTTTGTTTCTAATGAGATTTAGTTGACTGATCTTATTCAATCTGTTGGTGTATTTAAAATGATCCCTAGAACCCCTAATAATGTAAGGGTTTATAAAAGGTCTGGTAGCCTCACTTAAATTATCTAAACTTTTAAAATAAATGGGTTTATCTTCATTTCATGAGAGGAAACTTTGGCTTTTTTGATATTATCTACAGTTTCTTTTCCTGTGAGACTGAAGCTCACAAGAGTTTCCAAGTGGTCCAAATTTAATTGAAGGCCAAAGCATCTTAATCAAAATATTTTGTTTCATGATCCTGTCTTACTTAATTTTTGGAAGAAACAGTGGTATTTTGGGAATTGCAGCAGGAAGAAGCCAGACTGGCTTGTGACTTTGTTGTTTCAGGCCAATTAGAGAAGGTCAAAAAAAATAATTTGAGGATTTTAGCAATACACAGACAAAATGGATATTTTGAAAGCATCTCTCCCCCCAAGAAACAACCCAATAGCAATATTTTTCCTTGAATTTTCCATGACATCACTAATTCTTAGCTTGGCCTTTGTAAAATTTGTTTCTTGTGAAGGAGGTTTTTATGGAAAACTATAATCTTATTCAGACTTCATGTATTCAAAAGAGAGTAAAATATTTGAGATTATAGTAAGAGAAGAAACTAGAGGGAGATGGATCAGAACAATTTAAAGTTACATAAAATAATGATATGGGCATGTAGGATTCAGTTTTTATTCAGATGCTACTAATTTTTGAGTTAAATTATTTAGGTTTTGTATCTTATTAATTCAGCTTAACTTTTTAATGTGCAAATCAGATTTAAATATGGACAGTTTATTGTGGTTGGGATCCATTTTAGTTAGTCTTTAGTCAATTGCTGATATTCAAGGAAAAACAAGCCATAGGATTTAGAGAAGTGTCTGGAAGCTTTTTTAAAAATTAAGTTTATATACAATTAAATCTAGTTTTGTGATGTATATGTATGTAAATTTTGATCAATGCATAGAATCTTGTAACTACCACCCACAATCAACAAATAGAGTGATCCCATCACCCCCCAAATTACTTACTGTTGTCCCTTTGTAGTCAATTTCTTTCCCCAACCTGAAATCCTGGTGACTTCCATTCTGTTCTCTGCTCCTATAGTTTTGCTTTTTTCTTTTAGAATGTAAGTCAAATGTACCCATGTTTTTGTATATATCAGCAGTCCATTCCTTGTTATTGCTGGATAGTATTTCATTGTGTATCATAGTTAATCATTCACAGGTTGAAGGATATTTGGTTTGTTTCCAATTTTTGATGGTTAAGAATACAATTACATAAAGGTTTGGGGGTACAAGTTTTAATACTCTTAGGTAAATACCTAGGAGTGGGATTGGTGGGTTATATGTAAATGTATGTCTAACTTTATAAGAAACTCAAGCTGATTTCCTCTGAAGTTAGCTGGACAACTTTGCAGTCCCACTAGCAATATTTGAGTGATCTAGTTTTTTCACATCCTCCCCAACACTCATCAGATATATTTTACATTTTAAAAGAGGTGTGGTGGTATTTTATTGTGGGTTTAATTTACATTTTACTAATGACTAATGATGTTGAGCATATTTTCATGTGCCTATTTTCCATCTGCATATCTTCCTTGGTGAAGTATGTTCAGATCTTTTGCCTACATTTAAATGGATTGTTCTCTTAGTATTGAGTTTTGAGAAGCCTTTATATGCTATGAATACACATCATTTGACATACATATTATTTAAAAATATTTATCCATTCTCTGGCTTGTCTTTCACAGAGCAAAACTTTTTAATATTAATTCTAATTTATTAACTTCTTTTATGTAATCATGATTTCATTCTTATGTCTTAAGGTCACAAAAATTTCCCCTCTATTTTTCTTCTAGAATTTTTATAGTTTTAGGTTTTACATTTAGATCCATGATCCATTTTCAGGTAATTTTTGTACAAAGTATGAGGTATAGTTCCACTTTATTTTGCATAAAGATGTCCAGTTTTTATAGCATGTACTTTGAAAAGACTGTTCTTTCTTTTGACTGGATTTATGGTGCTATAAGTTTTATTTCAAGAGTTTATATTATAATGTATCATAATAATTCTACTTATTTACTTGTCTGACTATTGGATTTTTGTTATCTATCCTTAACATTGCAGAGAGATTCTAAAATTTGCAAAGATTTCTCAAAATTATTATTTGATTTCTTTAGGAAAAAATTATTTTAGAGGTAGGGAAGTGGAAGGTCTGATTGGTCAACTCCATCCACATTGGCATTTGCAAATTACTGCAGTAATGAAGATAATAGATCTGATAACAGAAGACACTTACACTGAGCTGTGCCCAATCACATTACCTTGGGAAAGTCATATCAATTCTCTGGCTTTTGTTCCCCACCCCTGTCAAATAAGTGTGTGTGGGGGCAGATAATCTCTAAGATCTATTCTAACTCAAATTGCTTTGGTGCTATTCAGTGTTGATAGAAACTCAAAAGGATTACAAACCATGAAATCAGGGAAGCAGTGGCAGGTCTCAGATACTTAAGATCCACCATTACAAAGTGCCTATTTTCATGTAGCTCTGAGTAGAATGGATTTTTTTTTTTTTTTTTGTAATGGTGATACGAGCTCAAAATATGGCTGCGGTGAGATGATCTCATGATTATTGGTAACATGGTATATAGAATCTACAGTGCCAGCAGAATACCTTCTGTTTTTGTTTTAACAGCTGGACCAAGCAACACTCTCCCTAACTGTGAGGGAAGACTACCTGGATAACAGTACAGAAGCCAAATCAGTAAGTATTCAACCCTGTGAAGCTACTGTCAGATTCATCATTTGGGTTCTAAGATTCTTGCTTCTTCATCAGAAATAAGTAGTATTGCTATTCACTACCATTATTTTCCAACACAGGAGACAAACACCTTTTATTCATGCAGATAAATTCCACCCCTGTCTTCTAGAAGCCTGGGTGTCAGGGTATACAAATTCCCCTGCTCAGTGCCCTCATGATCTTGCCAGGGAGACAGCACATGCCAATGACATAACCAAGAAACAAGTTTGCACTTATTCCTTAGAAGTGCACAGTATGCACTGTAGAAGTGAAGTGTGGGGGCAGATACCTGGGAGACCAATAGTTCTCATATTGTACTAAGAATCACTTGAGAAGCTTCTATTAGGTGTCAATTCCTAGAGAATCTGATTTAGTGGAGTTGGGGTGGAGTCTGGGAATCTGTAGTTTTAACAGGTGCCACAGACTAATAGAGGGTTATAAGAACAGAATGTATCAATGAGGTTAGACTTCTTGTCCTATCTGGGAAACCTAATAGCTTCCTGGAGGTTGGAAAGAGCTGGTCCATTTCTGACTCTTTTAATTCATTTTGGAAACTTTATCAAACTTCTTAAAGAGCTTCAGACATTTATCTCTTGGATCTCTACTAGTACTAACCTCTGTCTGGAGAAGGCTCTGGAGGGCAGGAAACTAGCCAAGACCCTAAGCAGCTTTCTGGCTGAAGACATTCATTAAAGAAGATTAGCAAATCGTCCTCTTACAAAGTAGAATGCATATTTACCAACTTGGGAGCGTCTCTGTTTCTGCTAGGTTCTCAGCAACGAGGCTTGAATTCATCTCTTCCTTCTATAAACAAGAAGTCAAATCTAAGTAATTCCACCTTCAAAATATCTCTTCTAGCTACTTGGCCCTTCTTTTCTACCTTTATTGCCCTGGGTCTGATTCTTGTTTACCCTTATCTTGTCTACAGCATGCAATCTTTTAACTGGTCCCTCCTTCCCTTCTTTCTACTGATTTCTTAGCACCACTGGATAAGCTCTGTTCTTATAGCATTGCTCCCACAGTGCCTTTGCTTTGAAAATAGGCTCTTTGAAGGAGTTCAAGGCCTCTACATGGTTGATCCTAACCCACCTTTCCTTTCTGACTCATCTACTTTTGTTTTTCCCTCAACCAAAGCAACTTGTCCTCCTCACTGCTTCAAACAGGTCTTCCTCAAATTCTCAATCCCCAATCTTCCAGGTAAGAATCCTTCTCCAGTTCTTGAGTTTCCAAACATGAAACTTTAGTAAGAAATTAATTTTGTCCTACTAATGTTATGGTTAGTAATGACATGTTTATCTTCCTCACTGGATCACACATTGAGAACCAGACTAAAGCATTATTAATTTTTCATCTGCATTGCCTTTTCCCACAGACTGCCTAGCAAGTCACCTTGCATATGTATTGAGTAGTTTGATTTTTTTTCTGAATTGAATTGGGAATGACAAAAAAATTCTTTCTTATTAAGACTATTTGCAAAACTTGCTTACTGATCAGATCAGTTTTATTAATGACTCACTATGTGCTGAGCACTGTATAGGGCCTGAGATCATACACATAGGAAGAATAGCTTACAGAGTCCAGGTGTACATTAGGGAGGAAATTTCATATTTGCTATTTGCTAGGTTTCTCTCATCATTTCTCCCTTCTCTCCCATCTTTTCCCCCTGAGCCACGGGGAACTTGTTGGAAACTGTACAAAAGTGAAAAGACCCAGGGCCTTAATAACTGCAGTCATCTTTCATTTCTGAGTATGAAGGTGGATAAATTGAGCTGGAAGAGAATAAATCATACTTCCCATCAGTGTTTATGGATCAGGACTCCTGCTTTTGGAAACAGTCATTTCCCTTTATTTTATTAAAGCTTCACTTGCGTGAAAAGAGGACACTTGAACATTAACTTTTTATTCTAGGCTCATTTGGAGATGTTTCATGTATCCATAATATAGCCAGTTATGGGAAGCCTAGTTCTCTTGATGCTTGATGACTGAGTATCTCTGTCTTTTATGGAAACAGTCTCATAAACCCATCACTTTTTTTGTCTCCCAAAGTTGTAGGTGGGTAGCTAGTGTTATATAATGCCTATACCATACTTTGAGCACAGAGTGAAAATGAAGGACACTTATTTCTATCTTTTTTCCTGCTTTTCTGAAACGTATTTTCTAGTAGGCTATTGACATGGTCACTTGCTTCTTTATCTCTTACAGTATCGGGATGCCCTTTATAGGTTCATGGTGGACACTGCTGTGCTTTTAGGAGCTAACAGCTCTCGAGCAGAGCATGACATGAAGTCGGTGCTTAGATTAGAAATTAAGATAGCTGAGGTGAGTATTAATTGAAAATCCTTTATTCATGTTCTTTTTCTTATTTTAAAGTCAGTATATCTTGAATGAAAATAAAAATTGCAATCAAGTAACAATGTTCTGTGTCACTGCCCTTTGGGTCCAAAGTAGAATTAACAGCATCCCCTCTGGGAAGTTTGAGAAGAACCATGGCAGGAAGAAGAGCTCTTCATTCTTTCCACTTGTTTAAACCCATTTAACAGCCAGGTCCAGTGGTGGTGCACGCCTGTAATTCCAGCAGCTCAGGAGGCTGAGGCAGGAGGATTGTGAGTTCAAAGCAAGGCCCTAAGCAATTCAGTGAGACCCTCTGTCTAAATAAAATACAGAATAGGGCTGGGGATATGGCTCAGTGGTTGAGTGCCCCTGAGTTCAATCCCTGGTATCAAACCAAGCCAAACAAAACACATTCAGGGCTGGGGTTGTGACTTAGTGGTAGAGCACTTGCCTAGCATGTGTGAGGCCCTGGGTTTGATCCTCAGCACCACATAAAAATAATAAATAAAATAAAGATTAAAAAAACACATTCCATGTCTGTATGCTGCTCAGTTGTGGCCAGAGAATAGCAGCAGAAAGACCAGACTATTTTCCTAGACAAACTTTTGTGTGACCCTGAATAGAATATAAATGTTTAATAACTCTTTTGTGTGTATGCTGGGGATTGAACCCAGGGCCTCATGCATAGTATTGAGTCAACCCCCAACTCTGGAATGTTACTTTTAATCCAGTCTTCTTTTTTTAAATATATTTTTTTAAGTTGTAGATGGACACAATACCTTTATTTTATTTTTATTTGGTGCTGAGAATCGGACCCAGTGTTTTCCACATGTGAGGCGAGCACTCTGCTACAGAGCTACAACCCCAGTCCCCAGTCTGTTTTTTTTGAATAAGATTATCCTCCTTTATTTTCCCTTAGAAAATTTTGAATGTTAGCTCTTACATTTATGTCTCTGATCTATTTTGAATTAAATTTAGAATATGAAATAAAGGTGAAGATTGAGTTTCATTTTTTAATATTTATTTTTTAGTTTTAGGTGGACACAATATCTTTATTTTACATTTATGTCGTGCTGAAGATTGAACCTAGAGCCTTGTGCATGCTAGGAGAGCACTCTACCACCAAGCCACAACCCCAGTCCTTGAGTTTCATTTTTTAAAGAATTTTTAAATTTGTTCTAATTAGTTATATATGACAGTAGAATGCATTTTGACACATCATACATAAGTGGAGTATAACTTCTTATTCTACTGGTTATTCATGATGTAGAGTTACACTGGTCGTATAATTATGTGTGCACACAGGGTAATAATGTACAATTGATTCTACTATCATTCTTATCCCCATACCCCCTTCCCTCTTCATACCATTCTTACTGAGTAAGTCTGATACAAGATCTGGGCTCAGGGAAGTCTGTCTACCAATTAATGTCATTGTGTCATAAACTTCTTCTGACCAAGTCTCCCCAAGTCTCCTAAACTCTTTCAGGCTCAGGTTAGAGACAAAACAGCATGAAAACAAACTCATGGGAGAATAATGAGAAATCTTAAATGGTTTTCTTTGTTTATAAAATAACCAGTTTCTAGAAGAACCAAAGTATGAAAGCCCTGTATGTTCACAGGTTCAGAGAAAACAAATATAGTGATATCTGCTTATGGGGAAACTTTTGTGAAAGCAAACAAACTTGTACCAAGAAACTTTGCATATGGGTTGTGGTCTTTTGTAATGGACCTTGATAAAAAACCTGAGGCAAATAAAAGTCCAAATATTTATTGGTTTCATGTTTGGTAGGGTAATAGTAGTAAGTTGAAGTATGGAGTAGGGGTAAAGAATGAAGGTCAGGAGGGAATGGGGCTTCCTTCCTGCTGAGATGATGTTCACATTACCTCTTTCCCATCTCCTACTTGCAATACAAAAGATCATGCCTGTATGTCACCTCTGTATACTGTGAATACTGCCACAGGTATTTGAAGTCCACAACTTTGCTTCTAGGCTGTGTATGCAGGTTGTCAGTATTCCCTTTTTCAGGCACATAGGAGGCCCAGAGATCTGCTTTAGATTGAAGTTTTGAAAAAAACAGGGAAGGCCAGGGAGTTAGACCAAGAAGAGAAATAAAAACAGCTGCTCTGAGGCAAGACTGGGAATTATCAAGAGGCTCAATTAAGTGACAAATCCATTATATGGAGGGGAATAGCTGGCATAGAGCTGAAAACAGCTCTGAGGTCAGAGGGCTCCAACCTGGGGTTGTGAGCCTGAGTTGAGGCAGGAGGAGGAGGCATGGATGGAAGAGGCAATGATTAACATACAGCTGGAAGGTACATGCAGTCTCCCCTATGGAAGGGAAAGGGGGAGAAGCTAAAGGCACTGGGGCATTTAGAACAGACAGGGCAACTGTCTTCCACTCAGCCCTCTAAGATTTTGCCTTGAAAAATCCATGGTGTGTGTACTTTTGGCCCATTAGAAATGTTCCCCTCCTTCCTCCATGCTTCAGGTTACTAGATCCATTCAACATTGGTGGGATACATAGTCTTAGGGAAACTTCTAAGGCTGGGGAGGCAGGACAGCCCAGTTAAGCCCAAATAAGTCCTTGTAAAGCATCCATGAAAGTGTGCATTTAGGGGCTGGGGAAATGGCTCAGTGGTAGAGTGCTTACCTAGCATGCATGAGGCCCCAGATTCAATCCCCATCATCATAGAAACAAAACAAAAAAGGGCATGCAATTTACCTAATCCCAGATAGAGAGACTTTGTACAAGGAGAGGACTTGTTAATGGAGTAGCCCTTGTGATCAGAACCAAGTAGAGTTTAATTGAAAAGGATTGTTAGAGAAAATAAATCTTATGCAAAATCTTGAATCATAGTCCAAATCATGGAGGGGTAATAGTGGATAAGGAATGTAATGGTAGAAGAGTTGTGTGTCATGCAAAAGAATTAAATTATAGAAAGCCTTAAAACATGGGGCATTAGTGGTGCCCGCCTGTAATCCCAGTGACCTGGGAGGATGAGGCAGAAGGATTGCAAGTTGGAAGTCAATCTCAGCAACTTAGTAAGAAAGACCCTGCCTTAAAATAAAAAGTACTAGGGATGTGTGTAGCTCAGTGACACAGCACCCCTGAGTTTAATCCCAGTACCAAAAACAAATAAATAAAAAAAATAAATAAAAAGAACAGGGGATGTACTTCAGTGGCAAAGCACCATATGGTTCAATCCCCAGGACCAAGAAGATGAAAATATTTTTTAAAAGAAGGCCTTAAAGCAAAATTATAATGTGATTCAGGGGTGGGTATGGTTTTGTCAAAAGAAGTGATTAAGATGTCCCTTGAAGAAGGTAATAAGTGTTCCTGTTCTTAGAATAAGTTAAACATATCACATGCAAAAAGCTTAGATTTGGTTTTGGCCAAATGGCCAAGAGCATGAGCATTGGGTGTGGAAAGAGTATGGAGAGTCAGGGCCACAGATGGAGGTTTGGATATGTGTCTGGGTGGTAACCAAATCCATACCCCAACAGAAGGGTAAAGAGAATCTCAAAACCAAACAAACAAGAGGAGAAAATAAGGGAAATTGTTACTGACAAAATGATCATGGGTAGCAGTGGTATCTAGATAACCTAGTGTTTGTCAGTGAAAATTTGTCCCTAGAGATCAAATGATGGTCTCTGGCTCATAGAGTATTGAGATTATTATCTGGAGACAGGTAAAAGTAGAATGTTTGCCTCAAACTGTCCAACTTCAGTTTGGCTGTCAAAAGTAAGCCAGTAATGCATTGTATTTCTCCAAATTTTAGAGGAGGAGGAGATTCTAAGAAGTTGTTTTTTATACTGGGGGCAATATTTTATACTGAAGAGGATTGTAAATTCTTTTAATTTTCTTAATCCTGCCTAAGATGTTGTCTTTTTATTTTCTCCCCTCAGCTGGGCACCACACCAAAATCTTGAAAAATTTAATAATAATATACAGATGTTTTGGCACATGTAGATAGTAGTCAGGCAGTAAGAAATGATTCATTTGAAAAAAAAAATAACCAGTGTCTTTCTGACAGATAATGATTCCACATGAAAACCGAACCAGTGAGGCCATGTACAACAAAATGAACATTTCTGAACTGAGTGCCATGATTCCCCAGGTTGGTGAAAACTATCCAGGAAATTTTCTCTTAACTGGTCACTTTACAAGTAATTGTATTTCATCTGTGTAAATTTTTGCCTTGTAAAACCTACCATCAGTCTTTTTAGTTATCATCATCTTTGACAACTATCACATAAAATATCCCTTGTGTATGCATTAGGATGCTTTCTGTTTTAGGGAACAGAAAATCTTTCCAACAGTGGCTTAAAATTTAAAGCCCATTTTTTTACATGACGTAAGTCAAGATGTTGGAAGTAATTGGTGTTGGTTCAGGTGTTTAATAGTGTTGTCAAAGACCCAAGTTCTATTTCACTCTCCATATTGTACTGGCATTTTGACTTCATGTTTGATGACTCATGGTTGTAAAACAGCTACCATAGTTCCATATATCACATCTTCCATCAGACAGGAAGAAGAAGGAAGGGCCAGTGATGGTCACATTTGACTTTTCTTTTATCAGGGACAGCAAAAAAGGCTTCCCAGAATATTCCCCAGATGTCTTCCCTTTATTTCTTATTGAATAGAATTGGAGCACGTGACCACACCTAACTGAGGAGAGGAACTTGGGGGCTGGACACTGGGAAAATGAGTAACTGTTTTTCCATTTCAACAGTGAAAGCAAACAAGGGAGACAAGGTTGATAAATCACTTTTAGGAGAGCCAGTCTAAAACATCGAGCAGTGTTTTACCGAAATAGCAATGCTCTGAAGAATATAAGGGTGTTACTTTCTGTTGCTGTTAATTTCCTCCTGTGTTAAGACTGTGCTGGGGAGGTGACCAGAAAATGTACTGAGGTGTCTGTATCTGTGTGTCTAGGGAATGGAGAGACTACAGAGGAAGAGACCAGGGAGTGTGTATACAGAAGAAGGGAAGGAAGTGGGGGAGAGAAGGAAAAGACATGGGAGGAATGGAGCATAGACTAGAGGAAGAGTCCAGGGGGCTGAGAAAGCAGTATGGAGAGATGAAGGAGAGAGAGTTCAGGAAGTGGAGGAGGGCCAGAGAAGCTAGGGAGCATGCTTGAGTGCATGTGCATTACTACATAAGTGTCTTATCCATTTGTACCCAGTAAAGAAGGCAGAATTCTTTGTGATTAAGACCACAGGTCAAAATGGCAAGGATTAACACTTAATCTTCTAGATAAGTAAATTATAAACAGTTGTATCTTTAATTATTTGGTATAAGATTTCAAGGAATCAATTATGCTCAGCCTACTCTATTTGCCTTTCTTGTTACTTGCTGCCTAATTTACAAAGGTTTCCTTGCTCATTTTTTTTTCTCTCTCCCCTCAGTTTGACTGGTTGGGCTACATCAAGAAGGTCATTGATGTCAGGCTGTATCCCCACCTGAAAGACATCAGCCCCTCCGAGAACGTGGTGGTCCGCGTCCCACAGTACTTTAAAGATTTGTTTAGGATATTAGGCTCTGAGAGGAAGAAGTAAGAACTTTTTGTGTGCATTTATTTTGGTTTTTGTTTTCTCTTTAAATTAGAAGGGCCTCCCTTCTCACATCCTTTGAAAATTGTTGTTAAGGAAAGTTACAGCAAAAGAGTCATAGGGAAAATTGTGGTGCCCTTTGTGACAAATAGGCCCAAACCGTTGTCTGGTATAATTTACTTGCTGTGATGACAAGAAATGCATGATGATTTGGCCTTTTATTTCTGGTCTTTCTCCATACTGTTCTCTCTGATAGCCTAAATTGTTTATTAGTTTTGGAAACTGGTTATGTAATGATGTTATTTCCTGAGATTTCTGTATGAACATATGTTTCCCCACCCCCTACCCCCCCAGTTCATCCTTTGGTCTTTTGCTGTTTTTTTTTTCCTCTCCTGTTCTCTTTTTAGTAAGTCATTTTCTGGCAAGAAACCAAAGTACCTATTTTGAAAAGACATAAGACCACTTTGAGAGCTATAGAAAAATTACACTGATGAAACAACTTCAGGAACTTGAAAGTTTCTCTTATTTTAAAAAATGTTTTAGAATTTGTAACTTTGGTAGTTTAGTGCTACAAAGAAAAGAAATCCTAAGAATGCCAGGAAAGAGAATTGTATGTGTTCATTAAGCTATATGACTACAGAAAATGAATCACAGAAGGGTCAATAAGTTTACAAAAGCAATTTACTAAACTAATTGCTGAGCCATGATTAAAAATCATATTTTCTGAGCTGAGTATAATGGTATACACCTATAACCCTAGGAACTTGAAAGCCTGAGGCAAGAGTATTGCAAATTTGAAGCCAGTGTTGGCAACTTTGTGAGACCCTCAGCAACTTAGTAAGACCCTATTTTAAAAAATGAGAAGGGCTGGGTCAGGTATAACTTACTCAGTGGTAGAGTGCCCCTGGGTTCACTCCCTAGTACCCAAAACAAAACAAAACATATTTTCTTTAAAAAATTGTTTTTAGTTGTAGTGGACACAATACCTTTATTATTTCATTATTTATGTGGTGCTGAGGATTGACCCCAGGGCCTCACATGTGCTAAGCAAGTACTCTGCCACTGAGCTACAACCCCAGCCCCACAAAACATATTTTCTTAATTGTACTTGATCAAGGCTATGTTGCCAGGAATTATGTTTAAAACAGGCAGCAATAAAAGTCCTAAAAATGGGATGGGGTTATAGCTCAGTGGTAGAACACTTGCCTAGCATGTGTGAGACACTGGGTTCGAGTCTCAGCACCAAATATAAATAAAATAAAGGTTTATTGACAACTAAAAAAAATTTAAAAACTTCTTTGAATAAAATGCAGCATGTATTCACCCCCGCTCCCCACCAAACAAACAAACAAACAACAACAACAACAACAAAAACATTTAGAATCCTATGAAGAGGGAGAGAAGAAGCAATAAATTCACTTTGAATTCTACCATTTATAGATAAGTAGTGATTCTTCGAAAAATTTCTAAGTGAAAATCGAATCTAGATGTGGGTAAGTTGGAGGCAGAGCCTTCACATTCCAAATGTGCACCATGAACCAGTAATGCCAGCAGCATCACCTTGTATCCTTGCTGAAAATAGAGATTCCAGGGCCCTTCTCCAAAGAGTCTGAGACAGTGGGGCTGGGGGAAGGCCAAGGAATCTGGATTTTAAATAAGCAGCCCAGGAATGTCTTATGATTAGCTCTTTTTTTTGGGGGGGGTTGTAGGGAGGAACACTGTGTTGGAAAAATTTCTTTGTAAATACTTCCTAGCTCTGAATGCAGATGGGACATTCCTTATCTGAAGTGCCTATGACCAGAAGGGTTTAGATTTCAGATTTTTTTTTTCTGATTTTGGAATGTTTGCATACATATAATGAGATATCTTAGGGATGGGGCCCAAATCTAAATATAAAATTCCTTTATGTTTCATATAATATTTAGAGCATGCCTGCATTGTGACTGCAACCCTTCACATGAGGACAGGTATAGAATTTTCCACTTAGGGCCTCAAGTTGGTAATAAAAAAGTTTTGGATTTTGGAGCATTTCATATTTTAGATTTCAGATTAGTGTTGCTCAATCTATACTACAAAATATGGCCCAAATGATTTTCTACTTATATGCACTTTAGTGCATTTTAAATTTCATTGGTAATTTCCATTGGAAGGTGGGGTTTGCCAGGCTGAAGATCGTTGTTTAGAACCTCACAAGTCAGTTTCTTCTAGTGTCTGTTACCAACACTTGTAAAATAATAGCAATTTTTGGACATTGTATTAATTTTGTTTCCCCCAAAACCTAATTTAAAACCAGGGGATAAATTGGGCCATGGTCTACTGTATTAGAAAAATCATCTCCATAGTAATGATTATATTTTAGAATTGTAGGACTTTTCATAACAACAGTGAGCAGGAAAAACCATGATTAGGGGGAAATTTTATTCTGGTTCCTGTCATGATAACTTAGACAAATGTAAACATAGTGAGCAACAATAGAAGATAATGTAGATAGAAAAATACCTGCAGATTTAAAACTTCATTTAAAAATCAAGACAAAAGCCAAATCTTTGACAGTTTATCCCTTGATAATCAATTCATCAAGAACAACTTGAATTCTGTGAATTCTTGTGAGATTTCAAGATATTCTATTGTCTTGAGAATATTGACATCACTTTATTGGCATGGTGAGGTTTGATATCATAGAGAGGGTTTTACATTGCTGATTGTGTGTGAGCACACACATGCTAGGAATGGAATTCAGGGCCAGAGAGGGCTGAGCATGTGTTCTACCACTGAGCTATACTCCCAGTGCTTGCTAACCATGTTTGGTCCTCATGCTTGGAGCCTTACAGGCTACTTGAAAAAAGGTCCTCTTGGTGGTGCAAGTGTGATAAATGCATTTGGAGGTGTTTATCTATGGCTATATTTAAAAAATTACCCTAAAAAAAAGGTCCTCTTGGGTCTCATAATCACCATAGCCAGGATATGCCAGCTGCAATAATGAGTACCTCAACTCTCATTGGCTTACACAATAAAAATTATATCCTCTGTTCATGGAACATCCCAACAAGGTGTCCTGTAAGTCAACTTTCTTTTAAGTTGTGATGCAGGAACCCAGGATCCTTCAATCTTGTGGCTCTGCCCTCTCCTGAGTTTTTGGAACCCTGTCCATTCAGGGATGGTGAAAGAGAGAGGGTGGAGAATTGCATAGATATTTGTGGGAAGTCCTACAAGTGGGATATGTCACTTCTACCTATATTCCATAAGTTACACCTCAGGCATGTGACTCATCTGATCATTGGGGAGGCTGGGAAATAGTCTAGCTGTGTACCAGAAGGAAAAGTAGTTGGAATTTTCTAGATATACCTTGATCAGAGAACTTTTCATTTTTTTGAAATGACTGCTTTTCTTTCAATTCCCTCATGATACAGTGAGCAGATGGCAGACACCTTTGTAACTGCTTTTGTAGCTTCAAGGTCTAGCACAGTGCATATCACATAATAGACACTTCTTAAAAATCTCTAGACATTAACCAGATGCCTCATCACCACCATCAAGGAGGTGAGATAAGCAGAACTCCAAAAGATAAGGAGCAATTCTGCAGGTAGAGGAGAGTGGAAAAAGAATAATGAGCAGCTTGGGTGGCAGAAGTAGCATGAGGCCAGATGTTGCCTTCAAAAGGCAGGAGGCTACAAAGTTGAGAGGCTGCTTTGGACTCAGGATATGTAAACAGAAGACTTCAGCCTTTTTTTCAGAATCTTCTCACCTCCCCTCTGGAGGCACCATTGAAGAAATAGCCAGCTAAGCCTTCTCATGTTCAGCATTTCTGCCATGCCTCATCACAGGCCATAGTGATGTTAACCACCATTAAGATTGACAGTTATCTTTGATCTTGGAACAGTTCTATGTCTTATTCCCATTTTACTGATGAGGAATCTGAGATTAAGCAACTTGCCTAAGGACACACCACTAAGAAGCGGCAGAGCTGATATTCTAAATTGGGTAACCCTTATTTGTATGTCCTATGTCTTTTTTCCCCATATGCCGCAGTCTGGCTGCAGCAAAATAACCAGGGGTGACGAGCAACTTGTGTAGATTGATACAGCTGGAGTGGGAGCCGTTTATTGTAGGACCGGAGGGGTATATATACATTCTATACAGCTTATCTTAATTAACAAATTAGATACAGCAGTCAACCAATAAGGAATCTCCACACTTAATGGCTCGTTGGCGTTACTTCACAAACCACTCCCTCTGCAAAATGCCAGGCGCCATCTTGACTTGTTTACAGACTCTAACACCCATATGTGTCCCTGTATGGAGAATATTTTTCAGACACTTCACTGCTAATTTTGGAGATACAGGTTGAATATTCTGTATCTGAAACACTTGGGACCAGAATTGGTTCTGAGTTTGGATTTTTTCTGATTTTGGAATATTTGCATTTGCATAATGAGATATCTTAGGAATGAGACCAAAGTCTGGACATGAAATTCATTTACTTTTCCTATATGCCTTATGTACATAGTCTGAAGGTAATTTCATACAATATTTTTAGTGCACCTGTATTTTGGCTGTGCCCTGTCATAGGAGGTCAGATGTGGAATGTTCTACTGGTAGCCTCATGATGATGCATTTTAGATCTCAAGTTTGTAGATTAGAGGTGCTCAACTAGTACTAGCCTATTGTACCTCCAACTGGTTAGATCTTGCTAATGTTGGCAAGTCTCCTGCCATTTTTAGGGTTCCAAAGCTATTAAGTGTGCATCAAATGCCCATTTCCTGGCTGCTGCTTCCCCCTTTAGATCACACCCTGCTGTTAGCTTAGTACAATGCAACCTTTCCTTCCAATTGGGTGGCTATGGGGACAGTTACACTGACACTTTGGAAGGTAGCACATGACACAAAACTAGAGCAATGAGATCTCGCTGAGGTGGTGATGCCAGAGACTGCATTAGGCCCTTGTGGTTCAATGGAGTAGGTGGCCAGGGAAGGGCCAATGGAGGCATTAGTTGGAGGCCAAC